AGAATTTGCTTTTGGTATCATTTCCTTCCTGTTTGAAGAATTTAGAACGGTTCTGTGAGAGCATGTCTTCTCGCAACAAATTCAGCTTGCTTTCATCTGAGAATGTTTTTATTTCATCTTCATTTGTACAGAATATTTTTACTTGACATAAAATTCTGGGACCATTCTTTTAGCACTTGAAAAATGTCGAGTAATTTCTTTCTAGTCTCCATGGTGTCTGTGGAGAATTCTATAAGCAATGCATCACTTTTCTCTAGCCACTTGCAAGATTTTTTTTCTTTGTCTTTAGTTTTCAGCAGTTTGCTTGTGAGGTGTCTGGGTGTGGATTTCTTTGAGTTTATCCTTTTACGAGTTTGCTGAGCTTCTTGAATCTGTAGGCTTATGTCTTTTGCTAAGTTCAGGAAATATTCTTTATTTTTTCTCCATTACTCTCTCTTTTCCTTCTGGTACTGGGATGACATGCATGTTAGATGTCTTGTCCTGTGGGTCTATGAGGCTCTGTTCATTTTTTTCAGTCTATTTTATTAATGTTTCGATTAGATAATTTCTGTTGATACTGACTTTTTCACCTCCTTCCTGATACTGAGTCCATTCAACAAGTTTTTTCTTTTGATTACTGTGTCTTCTGTCTTTGCTCAGACTTTCTGTCTTTTGTTTGAAAGTGTTTGCTCTTCCTTTATAAAGCAGTTTTTAAAACTTTAAAGTGTTTAATGGGGGCGCCTGGTGGCTCAGTCAGTTGGGCATCTGCCTTTGGCTCTGGTCATGATCCCAGAGTCCTGGCATTGAGCTCCATGTCAGGCTGCCTGCTCGACGGGGAGTCTGTTTCTCCCTCTCCCACTCCTCCTGCTCATGCTCTTTCTCTCTCACAGTTAAATAAATAAAATCTTAAAAAAATATAATGATTTCAAGTATCTTTGTCATCTTGGCAGTGATGTCTGTTGAACCATCTATTCACATATGAGATTTTCTTGGTTCTTTGACAGATGATTTTGGATTGTATCTTGGACATTTTTAATACAATTTACCCTGGAACAACACCCTGCACAGTTGAAAATCCACATAAAACTTTTGACTCCCCCAAAACTTAACTACTGATAACTTACTGTTGGGTGGAAGCCTTACTGATAACATAAACAGTTGATAAACAGATATTTTGTATATTTGTTATGTACTGTATTCTTAGAATAAAGTAAGCTAGAGAAGAGAAGATGTTGTTATTAAAATCATAAGAGAAAATACATATACAGTGCTATAGTGTGTTCATCAGAAAAATATTCCTGTGGCAGTGGATCTGTGTTCAAACCCAAATTGTTCAAGGGTCACCTGTATTATGTTAGAAGACTCAGGGTCTTGTTTAAATACTATGGAGAATGTTGATATTTTTCTTTTAGCAGACAATTAACCTGGTTGAGTTCAGGCTACAAGTTCTGATCAGTCTTCTGTGAGTTGTGGTTTCAGTGTCCAAGCTATTCAGAAATGTCTTGTTTGTGTGCCAACCAGTGGCCATTCTGGCACCTGGAATCTAGTTCTGTCCCCTAATTCAGTTTTTAGGGTCTGGTGTGTTGCTTAGGGTCAGCCCATGCATGTGCAACTGAAGAGTGAGCCCAGGAGTTCATAAACAACTTTAAGGGGTCACTTTTCTGAATTCTTCCCTCTCTATGATCTCACTGGGACTTTAGGGTTCTCCGGGGCCACTTTTTTTGTCATTTGGCTAGAAAACTGGGGCTTTGTTTACCCTCCTTTTCTGTACATTTACTGTGACTATACCTGTATGTGGGGCTAGGTGGTGGAAGGACAGAAAGCAAAGATGCAGTAGAGGTTTTTTCCCCTTCTTGGGACCACAGCTCCTCTAATTGGAGAGGAAGAACTCCCTGTGCCTGAGTTTTAGGTTGCCTGCTGTAGTAGACTGGTTATTCAAACATTTATCTAGGTACTTTGAAGGGACTTTGCAGGTGTAATTAAGGTTGTTACTAAGCAGTCGATCTTAAAATAGGGACATTATCTAGGTGAGCCTGGAATAATTTACAGGAGCCCTTAAAAACAGTAGAGGTTGATAGAGAAGAAAGCAGATTCAGAGTGTGAGGGATGTCACCTCTGTTGTTGGCTTTTGAAGATAGATGGGGCCATGAGCAAGGGAATGTGAGTGGCTTCTAGAAGCTGAGAACAAACTCCTACAGCCAGTTAGGAAACAAGGACCCTGGTCTTAAAACTGCATGGAACTGCATTCTGCAACAACCTGAACGAGCCTGGAGGCAGATTCATGTTGTAGTCTCCAGATAAGAGCCTAGGTCACTGACACCTTGATTTCAGCTTTTTGGGACTTGGAGCAGAGAAACGGTGTGAGCATGTTGGTCTTTTGATCTGTCAAGCTGTAAGATAAAATTGTGTTGATTTAAGTTGCAGTAAAAAACTTATGTACCATCAGACTGCTTTGAGCTAGAGGTGTAAGAAAATGGAGGGAAAAACCATGTGATTTCCCTTCCTCTCTGGGTGACAGAAGAAATCCATTCCTGTTTCTCATGCTAGAACTAGAGGGCTTCCCTTGGAACTCTCAGTCCATATTCTGGGTGCCTCGTTCTGTGTTTTGGCTGTATTGCATCCAGGCTGAGAGGTATTAGAGGGAGGAAGGTAGTAAACTCACCACTAGTCCTGTGACCCCCCCCTTCCCAATTCACTTAATACTGTAGATGGCCCCTAATTTGGGATGATTGACCTTAAAATTTTCTTTTACTTTATGATGGTGTGAAAGCGATATGCGTTCGGTAGAAACTGAACTTGAAATTTTAAATTTTGATCTTTTTCAGGGCTGGCAATACTGTGTCCGTTACTCTTGGGAATGCTGGGCAGCAGCACTGAGCTGCACCTCCCAGTCAGCCATGTGGTCCTAAGGGTAGACAACCAGTACACTTAGAACCATTTTATATTCGTATTCCATTCTGGTTTTCACTTTCATTACAGTATTGAATAGATTACATGAGATAGTCAATACTTTGTTGTAAAAAGGGTTTTGTGTTAGGTGATTTTACCCACTGTAGGCTAATGTAAGCATTCTGAGCATGTTTAAGATAGGCTAGGCTAAGCTGGGGTGTTCAGTAGGTTAGCTATATTAAATGCATTTTCAGTTTACGTTATTTTCAGTTTACATTATATTTATCAGGATTTAACCCCATCGTAAGTGGAGGAAGATCTATAATCACTTTTTAAGTGTCCTCAAATAGCTGCTGCCTTCATTCTGTCCTGATTTTATAACTGCATTCAGTGGGACAGATAAGGTGAAATGTGCTCACATACTCTACCCAAATTGGAACTCTTTACATAGGTGTTTTTTAAAAAATCTTCTAGTTTATCATAAAAGAAATATTTACTCCTTGTGTGGAAAGTGGTAATCTCCAGTGATAATCTCTGTTAATACTTTAATGTATATTCTTTTGGATTTTCTCCTAACCATTTGCAAGTATTCCCTTTTTAAAAAAAACAAAAATGGGGTCATAATTTTGTAAAACTTACTTTTTTTCACTGAAGATGTCATGGCCATTTTTTCCATATTAGTAGATATATAGTAGTGAACCTCACTTTTTCCTTATGAATACTAATATTAGAATAGTAGCAACTACCATTTCATTTAACCAATAAAGGAGTATATTTATTTGCTAGGGCTGCTATAACAAAATGCCACAGACTGGGTGGCTTAAACAGACCTTTATTTCTCCACAGCTGTGGAGATCAGAAGTTCAAGATCAAGGTGTTGGCAGGGTTGGTTTCTTCTGAAGTCTGTCTTCTTGGCTGGTAGATAGCCATCTTCTGGTATCTTCACATGGGGTCTTAGTCTGTTTGAGCTGCCAAAACAAAATACCATAGGTTGTTTAAACAATAGAAACTTATTTTTTGCACAGTTCTGGAGGTTGGGAAGTCCAAGATCAAGGTGCTGGCCAATTCATTTCCTATTGAGGGCAGACAACCTCCTTCCTGGCTTATAGATGACTGCCTTCTCACTGTGTCCTCACAGGGTAGAGAGACAGAGAACACTCTGGTGTTTTTCTCTTGTCTTGTAAGAGCACAGGCACTACTGGATTAGGGCCGCACCTTTATGACTTCATTTAACCTTTATCTCCTCCTCACAGACCATCTCCAAATATGACCACATTGGTGGTTAGGGCTTCAGTGTAGGAATTTGAAGTGTGTGTATGGGGGGGCGGTGGATTACATATAGATATTCAGTCCATAACACATGGGTCTTTTTTCTGTACTTATTGTGTCCTAATTTTTTCTTTTTATAAGGATACCAGTCCTGTTGGATTAGGGCCCACCATAATGACCTCATCTTAATTTAATGAGGTACTGGGAATTAGGACTTCAACATGGGAATTTTAAGATGCAGCCCATAATAGGAAGGTATTGTTATTTTCTCCACTTAAGATAAGGCAGGTAAGTCTCAAAGACCTTGACTGATTTGGCCAAGATCACAGAGCTAGTTAGAGAACCCAGGATTCAAACCCAGGTAGATTGGCCTCAGAGCCTGCTCTCTTAATTACCTGGCCATTCTCCCACCCCCAACCTCTACCTTGGCACGGCAGTTGTTGGGCTGTGCCTTGATTATTTAATCTATGTTGGACATAGGGGTTTTCTCTCTTTTCCAGTTAGACAATGCTGCATTGAATATGTTTTTATAGGTAGCACTGTACACCTGAAAATATTACTGTATTGTGTAGAAACCAGTTTATTCACAGAAATCATTCAATGTATGTATTTTCCCAAAATACCCTCTGAAAATGTACTCCTTTACTCTTCTAACAATGATCAATCAACGAGAGTGACAAGTTTTAGAAAAGAGCAGTGGAAAAACAACTTCTTTCATAGGCTGCAGATGATTTGAATTGGGTCCTTACTGGGGCTATTTGAGTGGAACGAAGGGCACTCTTTCTGTTAGGTGGGGTGAAAATCATATGAAGTGATATATCCTAGTCAACTCATGAATCATTTTCTTTTTTTTTTTTTCCCAGAATTTTGATTCTGACATTAGCAGTGTGGGAATAGATGGCTGCTGGCAGGCAGACAGTCAGAGGCTTCTCAATGAGGTGATGGTGGAGCACTTCTTTCGACAAGGAATGCTGGATGTAGCTGAAGAGCTCTGCCAGGTAACTGTGTGCCGGCGTGTAAGGAGATGAAACAGAAATGACGGGGCTCCTTGGAGTCTTTGAATCTTCTTCTGGCTGTAGATAGATTTTTAATATTTTAAGTATCCTGACCTCATTTTACTAGGAGGTCTTTTTTTTTTTTTAATTGGTGAAAACGACAGTCCTAAAACTTCTTATTTGAATTGTTTTTTCCTTATTCCTGCCCTATCACATTGATCCCAGCTCATCAACCAAGGGGTCAAAAGTAATACTACTCTCTCTATTTCCTCTTTTAAATAGGGAGAGTAGGATAGCAGAGAAGAAAAGAATCTGGCCCAACTTGTAGCATTTTGGGTATCAAATGAGTTTTAAGCTAAAACTTACTTCAGGTGAGCAGCTTTTGTCTTTTATTGCTAGTAGACATGAGCTTAGGGATCTCAGAATAGTTTACCAGGATCACGTAGTCATAATGGGGGCAGCTGCCGTGTATTGAGTCCACAAGCCAACCCCTGCCTTTATTCCTCACCACAATCCTGTGAGGTAGAAGTTGCTAGTAATTGCTTCCATTCTGTAGATAAGGAAGCTGAGGTCTGGAGAAGTGGCTTTGCCCAAGACCATACGGGTTCCTTAGTGAAGGAACTAGGATTCAGTCCAAAATTGACATCCTCAGACTCTGTTTTAAGCCACCATGAACTATTGTGTTTTCCATTTAGAAGAATGAAGGACTATAAAGATAAAATAGTTTAAACCCAGTCTGTAAACCAAACCTTTAAGCCTTTTCTATTTTATTTTGTTTTTTTAAAATATTTTATTTTTATGTAATCTCTATATAGCCAGTGTGGGTCTCAAACTCACAACCCCAAGATCAAGAGTTGAATGCTCTACCAACTGAGCCAGCCAGACACACCTTCTATTTTAAACAATTCAGAAAAACAGTAACTCAGGTCTTTCTCTGTACCTTACAGGAATTTTGTATGTTTCCTTGTAAATTTCCTGAAGGGAGTTATGTCACTTAGGATTAAGTTTATTTATAAGTAACAAAGACCCAAAATAAATTTTAAAAAATTTAAATTTAAATTAAATTTAAAATTAAATTAAAAAAAAAAAGTTTGTTTCTCTTGCAAAGAAATAGGTGGTGGTGAGCCATTCACAGAATATATAGTAGCTATGCTGCAGGAGGCTTTCAGGGCCCTAGCTTCCTTGTAGCTCTGCTGTTCCTTAGGTGTCCATTGTCCTTATGATCTAGGACAGCAGCCAGAAATCTAGCTGCACCTTTTGGTATTCCAGAAAGGGGCTAAGAGTACGTGTTTATGTTTCACTGGCCAGAATTTACTCTCACAAAGTCATACCTAGCTTTATTCTGTATGGTTACGTACTTGACTTTGTATGGAGTACATAGGGATTCTACTGCTATTGGAAAGAATGATGGTAGGGCTCAGTCATTAGTCTGTACCATAGAAATACATGTTAAAAAATTATTTTTAATGGCTCAACCCATATTTTGTAATTTAGAATATGTTTTTACCATATCTCTCTACCTTATTAATGCTAACAAAAGTTCATTCTATTTTTTTCAGGAATCTGGTCTTTCTGTAGACCCAAGTCAGAAAGAACCATTTGTGGAGTTAAATCGAATATTAGAAGCATTAAAAGTCAGAGTTCTGAGACCTGCTCTGGAGTAAGTTCTGTGTTTTCTTTTGAGTATTTGGGGAGAACTCTCTATAAGAAAACCTAATTAGAAAACACATTTGAGATTTTGAGATACACACATACATGCGTACGTACATACGTACATACATCTATACTGCTCACTTTCAGAGACTTCAGAGAAAAGCAAGGGAGAACTATTTTCTTCCTTTTAACTAAGTAAGAATGGAGGATGTACAAATAGGAGAAAATGGTTTGAGCTTTCTTTGCTTATCAGTTGATCTGAGTTTCCAAGAGAGGAAAGAGTTTTCCTATATCCAAGCTTATTCTACTACTTTAGACTAGCATAATAACAGGAAGTACTATCGTTCGGGTGGTCTGAGTTTGATATTTGAACTTCCGTACTTTGTGGGGTCTATGCTAGCATTTTAAAAAAACAACTTAATTGGTTATTGGAACTAAATGATATGCATGAAGACTGCAAATATTGTTATGAAGGAGTTTTGTGCTAGTTGTCCCTGTAAAATGTAATGGTGCATTATGAACTTGCTATTGTTATGAATTATCTTGAATTACTGAGTAAACTGTGGTACCCTAGAGCAGGATTGGCAGAGTTTTTTGTAAAGGGCCAGAGTAAATATTTTGGGTTTTGTGAGCCACATAGGATCTCTGCCGCATATTCTTCTTTTATCTATTTTGTGGCCCTTTAAAAATGTAAAAAAAAAAAAACAAAACAACAACAAAACCCAAAAAACCCATGTTGGCCATCTGGTGTATAAAATGGGCAGCAAGCCATATTTGGATCTTGGCCATAATTTGCCGACCCCTGTCCTAGAATTTTTTAATGTGAGGATTACCAGGTTTTAAAGAAGAAAGAAAGAAAAGCTCCTAAAATAAAGGAAAGAAACTGGGTGATAGGAACAGTGATACTGGTGTGAGGTTCTAGCGATAGAATTCTGTTATTTTAAAATTAGAAGTATTTGAGATCATTGTTTTCAGGAAAAAAAATAGTTGGGAAGATTCTTGTTGGTTTTTATAAAATGCACCAATTTTTTCTTCTATTAACCGATTTAATTCTTCGTAGCTTAATTTCTTTCTGATCATTTATCAGTTCTTAAAAAGTTTTCAAAGTTCTGAAACTAGCTCAGATGAACATGTAGAGATAGATTCCTGTGTAAGTTTATAAATGATAAATTCCTGTATAAATTATAAAGATGAGACAAGTAAGTACTGTAGCTTTAAAAGATGTCAAATATGTGGATGGAACTAGAGGGTACTATGCTAAACGAAATAAGTTAATCAGAGAAAGATAGTTACCATATGATCTCTCTGATAAGAGGAATTTGAGAGGCAAGGTGGGGAGTTGTGGGGGAAGGGAGGGAAAAAAATGAAACAAGATGGGACCGGAGAGGGAGACAAACCGTAAGAGACTCTTAATCTCAGGAAACAAACAGGGTTGCTGGGGGGAGGGGGGTAGGGATAGGGTGGCTGGGTTATGGACATTGGGGAGGGTATGTGCTGTGGTGAGTGCTGTGAAGTGTGTAAACCTGGTGATTCACAGACCTGTACCCCTGGGGCTAATAATACATTATATATTAATTAAAAAAAAAAACAAACCTCAAATAGTACCATTGTGTATGGCGCACATTACCTTTACAGTTTTTTAATTTAATTTAATTTAATTTTATTTTATTTTATTAGCAGATGTTAGATTTTGACATACTTGGGGATTAAATTCTGCCAAGTACCACTGATAACTCTTAAACAGAATATGGCAACCACTCTTCTATCTATTTTCATATTTCACCTATACGATTAAACATCTATAGAGAAGAGTAAGGGATCCTAAACAGAGAAATGTATGGGTTTCCCAGTAGTTTGTAGTGATTTGGAAATATATTTGAGCTGTTCAAGGTAATAGTCATTTATCCACAATTTCTCAGGCTCATCAAACTTTTATTGAGTACTTATTGTTTGCCAGAGACTGTGCTGAGCATTTAGACCACCTCAGCTCTCAAAGTACTTGAGGCTTTTTCCTTTTGGAATGAAGAAAATTTATAACACCTTTTCACTTTGTGCTTTTTCTGTAAGATCTGTTTCTTACTGATAACTATATCTTATATATCAATTGTTTGTATGAATGTTTTCTGTTATTTGGAGCCTCAAGCAGTGCCTCTCAGGCAAAAGGAGGGCTCATTCTGTCTGCTTGGTATTAACAGTGGAAACTCCTGCAAAGTAAAAATTTTTTTCAAAACTTCATTCTTTCGGGAATATTGGCATATTAAATAGTGTCAGCATGGGGAATGTAGTGACAGTTATAGTCAGCTCTTCTTGAGTGCTTATTATGTACTTAGCATTGTTCTCAGCATTTTACATGTATTGACTTATTAAATCCTCATTATAACCCTATGAAATAAGTACTCATTTTACAGAGGAGGGATCGAGGCCTGGAAGTGCTTTGTGGAAGAAAAGGATATGAAATCAAAAGGTTACATGAAAATGCTTCACATAATGTCCCCTGAATGTTCTTCTCCAAGAGACTTTAGCACATTCCAGGGGTCATCAGCAATCCTAAAGAAACTCATTTAACTTGGCCAAACTCTTGATTCCCATGTGTATTTGACCAAAGAATCCTTATTCTTGTCCCCATCCCCCCCAAAACACTAAAACCCACAAAATTGGAGTTCTACAGAACCAGCGTTTTGAAATGATAGCTTAATAGAAATGTCTCTTACAGCAACTCAGACTTTTCCAGTTCTTGCCCATTACTGGTAGATACAAAGCAGGTATTTCCTCAGTATCCTTAATGTGCAAGGTATAGAGAATTCACTTCACTCAGCTTGTAGCAAAAGTTGAAAAATATGGGACATCAGTTTGGAGAATTCTGGGTCAGATACAAGGCAGAGAGTTTCTTTCAGTTGTTTGGCACCTTCTGCTGGCACATGCTGGGAGGCAGGTCCTGGAACCCTCAGGAGGGGCTGTAGCAGTTCCATAAGGCAGGCTAGGCCGTTAAGGAGGCAGGGGCCAACTATAGAAATTAGTATAGATAGAGGCCATGGAGGAACTTCGGAGAGCATTAACTATCATTTACAAGTGGTAGACAGTGGAAAGAAGGCGGAAAAGAATGGTGTTAAGGCAGAGAGAAGTGGCAGAACAGCTAATTATATACACAGATCTAGTTAGGACACAACCTACTCTTTTGTTCCTGCCCCTTATATTTCTGAGTTTGTGTACAGATTTTTCTTCTCATCCAGATTGCATTATCTATTTTTTCAGTTCTTCTTGGCACCTAGCATGGTACATACTTAGATAGCTTATTCCATACTTCAGTAAATGGTGGAATAGTTTGAAGAAGAACTTGGAACAGACATGACCCCGTCCTTCATGGGTAGATAGAACTGTAAAGCCAAAAGTAACTAGTTCAATGAGGGAATAATGGTAAATTAATACAAAGAGATGGAGAAATATTAGAAGAGTAGAAACTGTCCTTGTAGACATGTGCCAGTTACTGACATTTTGAAAGTGCTCTCTATCTTCAGGAGAAGCCAGTTGGTTGCCTTCCTAAAGGTGTTTCAAAGAGCAGTATTATCTTGGTGGATTTGCCATAGCCCAGGATCTGGCTTGCAGACTTGGAAACGTGGTTTTTCAACACTGAGAAGGAGGCCCAGGGGCCTCCTAGCACTCCTGTTTGGAAAGCCTTGGTAGAATGCTCTGAGGGAATAGAAGATGACTGAATGGTTATGAGAAAGAGAGAGAGTGACGTTAAAATAATTTTTCAGAGGAGATAGAGATAATCTTGTTAGTTTAGGCCACAGAAGGATTTTAGATTAGACAGGCCATGAACAGTATCAGGCAGGCTATTGAAAAATGAGAGGACTCCCATCTCCAAGCCTAGTGATTGGTGTGGGGCGGGGGGGCTAGAAATAAAAACCACAGAGGGATGTGGGATGAGCTTGCCATTGTACTGTGGTCTCTTTGTGGTGTGAATGTTGGATCTTAGGAGAAGAGAATGCTTGCGAGACTTAAAGAAATTGTAGTATCAGCGAAGAAAACACAGTTTATACATGTAGAAAGGTTTTAGAAAATGAAGATGAAGGGAGCAAGCTGTGGTACCTGATCAGAGAGCCTTGACTATCACTGGAAATGAGGGTGACAGTGATTAAGCAGTTTCTGCTGTCTGTTTTCAGTTTTGGCTTCCAGTAGGTGGGCAGTCTTGCTGACTCAGGCATTTTTTTTAATAGCCACATAGAACCACAGAAGAAAGAAGACTCCAATAGATACACTATTGGAGAAAAGTAATCAAAGTTTTGAACAAGTTGGATTATTTCCCAGAGTCTACGTTTTTGTTTTTGTTCATTTTGTTTTGTTTTGCTCAGGGTGGTTGTTAATTCTGAAAAGGCAGAAGAGTTAAGTTGAGGCATACATTTTTAACTCGCTGTGCCCATTCACTAAGTGTGGTGGAGAAGGAGCTCCTGTATTAAAAAGAAGCTGATTAAAAATGGAGAGAGGTACCCGGTGGAAAGGATACAGAAGAAAGCTCAGTGGACTATAAAGGCCAAAAGGGAAGAAATACGTAGGGTGATAACATCATTTTCTGTTATCTATTTTGTGTTTATTTCTAGCAAAAGTTTATGTGCAGTTCTAACACAATAGGTATTCTTCAGGAGGAGTAGGGTTTATCCTGACCAAGGACTTGAGCATATTGAAAATGAGTGGGTGAACCATAACTGTAGAGGAATTGGGAATCTTCTTAAAAAGAAGGGCAAAATTGGGGCTGCCTGGGTGGCTCAGTGGGTTAAGCGTCTGCCTTCAGCTCAGGTCATGATCCCAGGGTCCTGGGATCGAGTCCCACATCAGGCTCTCTGCTAGGCGGGGAGCCTGCTTCCTCCTCTCTCTCTCTCTCTCTCTCTACTTGTGATCTCTCTCTATCAAATAAATAAAATCTTAAAAAAAAAAAAACGGGCAAAATGAAACCAACTGTCCCTGAGGTTAAGTGTTTAAAAGAATAAGGAGCTGAAGTAGGCCAGGAAT